ATGCAGGCATCGTCGAATTCTTCGCATACTCGAGCAATGCGCATACATTTTTTCCTTATATGCGTTGGCCCAGCAGCCGACGCAGGCAGCGACAGCAGCGAGGCAGTCAGCAGCCCTTACTTGATTTGAATACCCTGCAGTACAAATGCAGATTGTTTTGTTATGATTTTTTTATCAGAGTTTTATGGTAGACGAATTAGATATGACTTAAAAAATGAATAAGCCACAATTAAAAGAATTCATCTGGTATTTATAACCTTCATTGCGTTAGTTATAAGTACACGGGCTTAAAGTACAAATATAAAAGCTACCAAAATTCTGCACATCTTTTTAAATATTTCATATCGTTAAGTAACGTGACAACAATTTAAAATTGTAACTATTGAGGAGCTGCTGATTCTATGGCTGTCCCCCATCAACACTCTTCCTTATTAAAACACTTCACTTACCCATGAAGCGTTTTGACTGCTCCAAAGTGGGACTTGAGTCGAATTGCGGAAATAGCCATTGAATATTCAAGCAGCCAACACTTGTGTGTCGCTGTGGTTGGGGCAACACTGTAGTTGTGGCATTTTTCTTGGGGGACTGTTTCATTGGCGATTTTTATGAAACTTTGGCAGCCATTTAGAAAAATGTTGGCCTTTTTTGACACAAACATAACACTTTGGCAGCCGCGTCCGCCAGCAGTTGGCAAACAAATTTGAATTTATATTAATTTATTAGCATAGCAAAAGCGCAGCGCAGTCAAAACGGACACTGGGCTCGAACTGTAACTGTTAGCCAAAGAACAGGACGAAAGTGTTTTTTTTTTTGGGGCTTGTAGCGCTGGCAAATCTAATGAAAATGAAAAGTAATTCCACAATTTTGAGCAATGAAGTCGCTAATTTGAAATGTAAATTGCCGTGCTAAGCAGTCGCAAATAAAAAATACCAAATGACTGCTAGTGGGATATGCGGGGTGGTGCTGAGTGGTGGAGCTCATCTACATCCACACATTTATTAATACGGGCATTTTTCATGCCAGGACTGAAGCTGGCAACAGAAGTGACTTCATTTTGAGTTTTAAGTGTCGCCCTACAAAAAATATGCGACCGACTCAAAGTGGCTGCTGCTATGCAAAATTATGCTAATGCCACACCCACAGCCAGGGGAGCAGGTGGGCGTTGCAGGGCCACCTGCGTTTTATGCAACGAAATTTGCCAAATGTCAAAACCCCAGTTTGCGCTTAGGGTCTTGGGTGGGTTGAGTTCGGGGTCATCATAGTTGCTCTCTGTTGACTTTTGGGTCGCATGCAGCTGACAGGTCGACAGTTGGCAGTGCCAAAAAAGCCAAGAGGAAAACCAAACAAGTGCACAGCAACTTTAACAAGCGTTTTTGTGCACTTTAAAGTCAGCGTGGTCGTTCTGGCAGCAAACGACATCCAGGCGAGCTTAGCGTTTTACCTACACACTCATAAAATGCGCATTAAAGCATACAGCGCCTGGGCGGGTAAAATCCGAAAGGATTTAGTTGCGCCACAGGCGGTGGTTACTTCACGTCTATTGCGCCATCTTTGCATACACACACACACACACACACACACACACAGACCAGCATACACACATTGAGCGACAGGCAACCTCTGCGCCCCAGCTGGTAACATGAATGGCTTTTTCATCCATCAAACATGGCGTCAAACGTCACAAGGCACAAAAAGGCAAGCCAGAAAAGGACCCCAACCCCAAAGCTCTATTGTCGTCTAATACCACAGCACCCCAACTCCGTCCACCAACCAACCAACCAACCCTCCCACCTCCCCCGTAACCGACGTAACCCCCATTCAGAGGCCATGCATCACTTCCGTAGCCGCTGTGTTTGGTGGCTTGGTGGACTTTGCCACCGCCGTGGGCTACATAATCTTTCGAGCTTTATGTGCTGATGACTTGCTGAGCCTGAGCCAGAGCCAAGCGATGCCATTTCTCTTGTTATTGTTGTTGTTCTTGTTGTTGTCGTTGTTGTCGTTGCTGTGTGGGCTGATGTTGGGGTTTACTGCGTGTTTGGTTGTACCGAAATGTGCTGAGTCGGTTTTTGTGCTTGGTCGGATTTTCTACACTTTTGTTGGCAGCACCCAGTGCTGATGTTGTTGCCATTATTGTTGTTGTTGTTGTTGGCTCAGCATGTTGCTGGCTTCTAAATACATGGACACACACACACACACTCCAACACACACACTAACATAAGCATAGACATTCATATAATGCTTGTAATATTTGCGCTTAGCCTTTACAGCGTGGCAAGAGAGCGGAGGTGGAAGAAACAGGCGCTGCCCGTCAGGATAACAGCAGTCAGACGACAGGCGGCGCCCCAAGGACACTTGGGGCGTTCGCTTTCGCATTCGCAGTCGAGTTCAAAATGTTTATTTTGTTGTCCTTAGGTTAGTTGCTTGCTCATTTTGTGTTCCTAACGCTTGTTTGCTGAATCTTGCCTGAGTGTATGTGCATATATGTATATCTTCTTATATATGTATATACATATATATATATGTATACATATACATACATGTGTGTGCGTATGTTTGAGCATTGCTTTTTTACAGCGTTTTTGTGTGTTTTATTTGATTTGAACTGTTTGCATTCTGTGCTGTTTACTTATCTCAGGAGTATCTAGCCAGTGCCTCCGGTAAATATCCTTGATCCATTTGCAAACAGCATTGTTGCTTCTAAAGCTTTAAAATGCGGGACTTAAAAGTAAAAATAAATCAAACAGACTTTTTCAAAACTTACAATATTTTAAATTGCGTTTATTCACTTAAATAAATTTTGGTTAAAAACAGTTTCGCTTGTATAAAGATTGAAAAGATTCGGAAAAGCATTTATCCAACAAAACTGAACTACTATGCGAAAAAAAAACTTGTTAAAAGAAAAGAGTTTAAGCCGTAAAAGATAATGGAATGGATCGGTGCTGTGTTACGAGGATTATGTAAAATCTTTTAGGAGAGGATTTGGAATAATCACCATCGAGAATGGGGAGGATTTAAAGGACTATGTTGGCAGAATTCGCTGAGCTAAACAACAAATCGGCTTCAGACCAAATCCGTGCTGGCCTTAAAATCTTGTAAATTGAAGGCAGACGCAGATCCTCAGAAGTCACACGCTGAGCGACAGGCGAAGGAAGACATGAGGCGGTGCTGATATGTCTATTCGATTCCCGGTTTCCCACCCCGTCAAAATCTGCCCATAAAATGGGAACAGTGCCAAAAGGAAGTGTTGTATTTGTTGTGTAGTACAAAACTATTTGTTTTTGCCCGCTGTGCGAAGCTGTGCGCAAATTTTCGCAACTCCGTAATGGTTATTGGAAACGCAGCCAGCCAAATGGCAGCAAATATTTACGTTAGCTCTACTATATCCGAAATGGCAAATCCTTTAATAGCGTTAAACGTTCGCATACTGAGAGTTCCGCCCTCTGCTGTCCTATTGTTTTTCCAGACCACACGAGACTCCCACGCAGTGGCGGCCTCCTTATGCACATATATTGTCAACCATAAACTTTTATTACGCCTTAAGGTGAATGATTTTGTTTATTTTTTAAGGCCGAGCAATAACAACAAGGACGCTGCTAGCGTCCAGAGGACCAGGGTCCTTGCGCTGGTCAGCAGCGCATAATTTTGCGTTATTTTTTGTCGACACACCCGTGGCGCGCTTGAAATCCCTTTTGGGATGCGGATATGCGTGGATACGAAAAAAATCGCAACAATTTGTAATGCCAAGTATTTTATTTATTTGGCGATTTCAGTGCGTTTTTCTGTCAACACAAATAAATGAAATACATGCGAATAGAGCTTGAGTATTTATTTTGTTGATTTCTGGCCCGATTAGCTCAACAGGTTCCCGGCTGGCAAACTTGCTGTTGGTCGTTGCTGTTCGGCCCATAAATCAAATTACCATCACATATGCGCACACTTTTGGGGGCTAACTGTTGCATTTGCAGCTTCATAAATGCATCAGCGCTAACAATTGCAACTTAATAATGAACCGACGCGGCTGCGTAATTTGTCTATTATGTTTGGGGCATTGTTTAGCGGCCCCAACTCGCAGCTGCTGGAGCCTATTCACACTTGCGGGAGTGTGCCCCACAAGGGTGTATCCGGGGGTCACAGTTAGAGTTACAGTTGCAGTCGCAGTCGCTGCCACAGTTGCTGCACAAATGCATACAATGCCACACATGTCGCGCTTAATTAACCCCAAACAATTTCAGCTCTTCGGCTGCCTGACACCAACACCAACACCAACAACACCCACACACACTTGCACCTACACACACACACATACTGTACGACGCTTATGCAATGAAGTTCATGATTTACTCTTGAAAAAACTAATTCATGATATATGCAACTGTAAAATCTGTATCATATTCTAGATAATTTCTGTAGTCCGACACTCTTCAAATGTAAAAAGCACATACAAACAGACAAAATACTAAATTCTCAATATCTGATTAAAAGTTAGTAAATAATTTAAACTCAGCATACAATTTTGACCCACGTTTCAACGGTTTCAGTGACTAATGGAAGGTGATATGAGTATGCGTGCAAGCAGAGAGCACACTGACCCAAATTAATCTTAGTTATTAGCGGCAGCAAGTGTATGTCTGCTGAAGTCGCCTGACAGACACAACAGGCCCAGAAACCTTGACTTGTCTACGGGCATGCTATGCGCCGTCGAAAGTGGCATAAATTTAGTTGGCATATTGTGTAGGAGAGGGAGCAGACTGATGACAGCCACTGTCGTCGTCTCTTCACAATGCGAGGCGTGAAAAATTAAACGAAATTCTGTTCACTTTGACAAACGATGTGTACACAAACAACTTCATAATTTTTGGGTAAAATACAAATAATAAACCACTAAAAATACACGTGAAAGATGGAAGAAGTCATCATCTATATTGGGAATATCCATACCTGAATAGCAGAAGATGCCCATTCAAGCCTCTCTGTATTTGGAGATTAAAAAAGAAAAAACCAATATTTTCTACAGTTTATAATACTATAAGTAATGAATTAAAGCAGCTCTTTTAAAAAATAATCCTATATTTTTGTTAATCAATTTATCAATTTATGTACAGCAAAAAACCACAGGTTTTTTGATTTGTTGCTTAAAATTAATTCTCCACATCTGTGAACTTGAAGCGGAACTTAATGGCTGGCTCCATAAGGAATGTCGTCTTAAAAGGCTTGGATGCGTCGTGATTGAACTCCACATGGAAATTGCGTATGATTTTTGCCAGCGAGGTTTCTATTTCCAGATCCACAATACGCTTTCCAATGCACTGGCGTGGCCCAAATCCGAAAGGCAGAAAAGTGAAAGGAGTGATCTGCATCTTCTTGTTCGTCTCGGCATCACGCAGCCAACGCTCGGGCAGGAACTTATCGGCTTGTGGATAGTATTCATTGTCCGTCATCAGTGCATTAGAAGCCACCAAAATATCTGTTCCTTGGGGTATATTGTAGCCCGAAAGGGTAACGTCCTGTTTGCACTTGCGCGTGGTGCCAAGTCCATTGGGATAATAGCGCAATGCCTCCTTGATAACTGCTCGCAAATATGGCATGTCCTTCATTGACGCCTCATTGAGTAGTGACTCCTTTGTTGGCATCACTCGCATCAATTCTTCGCGCAGTTTGTGCTGCTTGTCCTGATTCTTGCTGAGGCACAAAAGCAACGCAGACAATAACATCAGAGTTCCATCGACACCGGCAAAAAGGATATCCCATCCCATGATTACCGCTATTTTGGGATCAATGTCCAACATTCGATCCATCATGCTGCTGTTGGCGGTCTGCTCTCCGGCCGCACGGCGCCGCTCCAGATCCAAGCGAGCCTCCTCGACTAAACGCTGAGAAACATTTAGACTCTCGTTTTGGATGCGCATCATTTTGCGATAGGTCGGTGTGGATATATACTTCCAAATTGAGGGCTGTACATCCAGCAGATAGATCAACCGAAATATATCTCGACTTGATTTGAATAGCGTCAGAGCATCGGGATTGTTACGATGCTTGCGTATGAGGCCCATTTCGCAATTGAAGGCAATCAAAGAAATTGACTCGAAAATCATGCGTGCCATTTCCTCCTCAAAGTCACCGGGAACCTCCAGGGTCTTCGGATCACGTATTTCTTTGATGCTATTTGAGAGAGAAATATCAATTTAATTGCCAATTTTTAAATTTTCTTCGATTGAAATGAACCATCATTTTGGGAAACATACCGCTCAATAAACTCATTGTTGATATTCGACAATGGTTTATAGTACATCTTCAGGCCTTTGGGTTGCATAAAAACAGGATTCAAAGCCGAACGAAGTTTGCCCCACTCCTCGCCTTGCCTACAAATATTACTCCATATAGATGTTATATTATTTAATGTGAACTGATAACTACTCACGTGGCTACCAGTCCCTTCGTCGATTCAAACACTTCGGGCCTGATGTGCTCGCGAAAATAAGCCACTGATTCGAATAGACCTCGGTCTGGCCAAATTCCCTCATTGCGAAATACCATCTCGATATCCTTGGTACTGAATGTGACTACCAAATCCGTGCGTCCAAAAAAACCTGGTATTACAAAGACATCGCCATACCGCTTCCTCAAGGTCAACGCAAAATCCGTTATGGAAAGATTACGAAACTCCCCACCCGGCAGAAAAGCGCGCAAGAATTGCAGTTTTCCTGGTCGGGGCACTTCGCTAAATGCACGGGCCCGTGCATTACTTACATTCTCAGTCGGCTATCATTAGATTCATATCAGCAATTCATTCAACAAATATTATCAGTTACAGCTTACATTCAACGCAGCTGAAACGTGTGTTGATCTGGCGCCAATCAGCGCAAGTTGTCGCGCTGCTAGTGGTACTTTTGTTGTGGCCATTATTGTAGTGGTGATTAGCTATCAACCGATCGACTGTTCTCAACCAGTACGTAGCTCAAACTGAATTATTTTGTGAGCTCTCCACTCGTTTATATACAGTCAACTGAGCTATGATAGTGGACGTTCGGAACAAAATGAAAACAAACCGATTCTAACACGAGCTGTTATCTATTGACTGAAGAGGAATGAATGAATTTGCCGACAATTAAATGGTCTTGCTAAATATGCCAGGTTTCAATTAATATATTTCTCACAAATACAAAATAATTTGTAGAATTAAACTATATAAACTCGGCTTAATTTCCCGATCAGTTTGATCATATATATACTGAAACGGCGCAGTCTCCATCAACGATCAAAAAATATAATACCCTCGACAAGAGTATACTAAAAGAATAACAAGTTTTAATGGATATGTAAATATAATATCTACCTCCTTATCTTTCCTACCTTAGGCAAATATGCATATTAATAAATAATTGTAAGCGCATTAACGCGTCGACTAATTCTAATGTAAAAGCAAACACAATTATATCAAATCATTTTTCAAATACGCAAGTCACAATGAGATACCTAACAAAATGCTTTGTGAATGTGAGTCAGCTCAATTCTTAGCTATGTTTGAATATATTTCTCTCCCACAAACTTGCAAGTGATAATGAAAGCTTACTGCACTGAAAATATTCTTAAGAAACATTTATTTTTTATTTTAAATTTGAAAATCCAAGTATTTTAAAGGTACCTAAATATATATAGAAATATAAAATAATATTGACTAGAGTCATAAAAGTTATTTTCCGCCTTGCAGCCACCCGAGTAGCAAAAGATCTAAAGTTTGTAAATTTTTTTTATTAGGTTCCTTAGTTAGTACCTAAGTAAGAAACCAGCAAACCACACTAATGAGCAGGGAATAAACTGAGCTGCCAAACATCATATGCCGCGCCAATGATAATGAATCATAAAAAAGTAGCCAACACATAATTATGGTGATTATCCACCCGGAAGGCAGCCAGAGGGGGCAAACGCGACTAAGAATCTGGTTCGCGACTAAGTGGCTCCGAGCACGCCTGCACTAATTGTGAGTAACACGTTCACGTTTATAACTTTAAGAGAATTTCCCCTTGGAAAACAAGGGCACGGCATACAGGCAGTCAAGCAGTCAAGCAGTCAACTCAGGCAGGCATCCAGTCGACTGGCTAGACCCAGCCAGACGAGACAGCCATTTCAGCTTAGACATTAAAGTTTGGCCAGCCAGCCAGTCCACCAGCCATCCAGCCAAGCTCGTTTAATAGACCAAATTCATCTGGCCAAAGTTTAAAGTGTCGGCAGCGTGCCCCGACATTTATCAGTCATTAACACGGCCAACTACACCAAATTGCCAACAAGGATGTTGGCGTTCGTCAGGCGTACAATTAAAGCTGAGACTTTAATTTGCTCTCTGGCATTAAAAATCAATAAATTTAAAACATTGTATGACAATAGAAAGAAGAAAAAAAAAACATAAAAAAGGAAAGAACTCATGGCCCTCGCCATAGATTCTCGATGGCTAGAGAAAATTCTCTTTGGGGATGTTGTTCGTGTGGTTGTTGTTTGCAGCACAGAATCGCCGAGCCAAACATCCTTTGTCAATACAAAAATACGTACAACAAATCAAATAAAAGCACACGACAACAACAACAACAATAAGAACACAACACAGAGAATGGCAACAAAGACAAAAGTCAAAAGTGCAAAAACAAAAGCAAAAAACATAACAGGCGCCCCCCCCCCCCCCCCCTTAAAACTGCAAGCCAAGAACGAAGAACGAGGACGAGGACGAGGACGAGGACGATAACGAGTAGGATGAGAGCGAGAATGAATCCTGGATCAGCGCATGCGCCTAAACTGGCGAATCTCACGAAGCGGGGAAGCTCTGCCTGAGCATATAAATGGTTTTGGAGTTGGGTTTAAATGGGCGCAAAGGAAATGTTCTGACAAGTGCCGGATAAAATGGCGTTGTCTCGATTTGGGGGCGCACCCGCACACACACACACACAAACACGCACTTTCACAGACACGACACGGTCACTTCTCCTCCATTTTGAGAAAATTTCCTAGCCTCAGCAGCGGTTGAATGCCATGTCTGGCCGAACTGAGCAAATGATTTTTAACAAATTTCATTAACATCAGAGGTCCGTAATCATTCAAGCATCGCGTTTCGTAACTGGCCTCACGACAAATCTTTCACGCTGGCCACTCAATTCCAATTCAAACTGTCGACTGTCGTTGCATATTTGCACCTGCAACAATTACCTATCGCGTCTTTAAGAAATAATCCCGTGTGAATAGTGTCGACAAATATTCACTTAAAATCGTGTTACTTCCATAAGTTTGTAATTTAAATAGCAATTTTAAGTTGGATCGTTGCTGGACCTGCTGACTTTTTGTGCATGTGAATGTATTGCAATTGCAACTAATCCCTAAAATGATCGACGAACACCATCCAATGCAAATTGGTCTGTGTAAGTATTTGGTGTTTACTCTGTGTTTCGGAATTGTTAGGGATTGTGCGAAAAGCCGTCGGACTTTTTTTCTTCCAAACATTCCACTTTGCCGACGGTATTTTTTAAAGTGCTTAATATCATCCTTAATTTGTTAGCCTGCTTTTTTTTAAGAGTTTAATTTAAGTAGTAGTACAATTCGATAGAGAGCGAGACTTTCATTTGATAAACCTAAAATATTTGTTAAACCATTAGAAACTATGTATATTTAACTAATGCAGAATAATCTTCACTAGAATTTATTTATATTTTAATTGATATGAATTAAACATATTTGAATGTGCGAAATAAATTTGTATTCAAATTAATATAGTTTATTCATTTCTGAGAAGTCTTGAATTCAATTTTATAGGTTCTCCAAAATGTAGTATAGTATATCATACGGTAAGTTGACAAAGTTCATTAAGGTTATTGTATTTTCCCATCCACTCACCACGAAATACAAAAGAAATTTTAAGGATATTTGTTTTAGGATTAAATTGTGTATATCTGTGGTAATTTATTAATATATAAACAAACCTTCACTAATCCGACATTCCATACGTATTCAAAGAATTACAATCCAGGAAAATTAAAGTTCAATCATAAAAAGAAAACATTTACCCTCACAAATACCTATATTTAGAACATATTTATAAATATATCAGAATTCTTGGAAAAGTCTATACATGCATATAACTTATTTGCCAAAATAATTGTTGTTGTCTGAGTACAAACTGACAGATACACTAAGAACCACTTGCAGCCCTTGGCACTTGAGGGAAGTGTGCTTAAGTCAAACTGGCAGAGAGCCAACACAAAATCTGGACACATTTTATAGTGGGCAAAACAAATGCTGACTTCTGTCAAAGATTAGGCAAAAACAAAGCATTTATGTTATGTGTATTGCTAGCAAAACACAGCAACAACAACAGAACGGGATGCCATAATTTCTTTGTCTGCCCAAATCCGATTAAATTAAACGCCAGTCGACGGCAACAACTCTCTGGAGCGACTGACAAACAGCAGCAACGGCGGCAGCGGCTGCACACAGCATCCTGGCAAGGGTTTCCTGCCGACTGCCGAAGACTGCCAACATATGCCGCCAGCAGCCGTAACCGACGTAATGAATCCCCTGCCTCAACTCCCACCACCCCAGGCGCTAAGCTAGCGCATATTTTAAGCACGAGCTATGCAAGGGGTGAGAAATGAATGAGGGTAGGGGTTGAAGCCCCTTTTGGTTTTTGATTCATTCAAATATGCCCCGGTTTGGCGTGCACACGCACTACTCGTAAATTCTATTATAATTTAGTTATAAGCAGCGCAAAAGTCGCGTTCGAGGGTGGTTCTGATTCCTCCCCCCTGATTTTGCTGCTGCACATTAGAATGTAATTAGTGCGGCGAAAGCGCAGCAGCATCTCGCTATCAATGTCGGGATTTGCACTTGTCCTCACAAATCCGCAGCTCCTAAGCGCTGACATGTCCAGCCAGCATGTTGGCATCCTTTCGGCCAACTCAAAGACGGAAAAAGTGTAACAGGTGCGCCAGCTGAGCGGATTAGTAAGTTGCTGGCATTGTTGTCGAGGTGTCCAAAGTTAAATGTATCAGCCAGCGAGTAGCGATGATATGATAAGCATATGGCATATGATAGAATGCAGCAGCAGTTGCTCTTGACAATTAATGCGATCAGTCACCCAAAATAAGTAGCATATAGTTATAAATAAATCTGTTCACTACATACAATAAGAGCTCAAATGCTTGGTTATAGTTATGGGTGATATCTCAGCACATAGGCCAGACTGGCTCTGACAGTTGTATAACTAAGTCAGATTGATTGTTATTCTAGAAGGCTTGGAGCGTCTTCCCTCTCAGTCTATATACGAAGCCCAATTAAAGACTACAATCTCAGAACGAGATGAGATAGTCATAAATAAAATAATCTGAGTTACGCACAACATATTATCGCAATAATCAATTAAAGGCACTTCTCAATAAAATACCGAATATTTGCTAATATTTTATATAAAATATATAAAAAGTAAATACTCAACAATATGATAAAAGTTACAAGGTGCAAAATTATTTAGATTGTAATGGAAATTGTCATTTCTGTGTCGGCTTTTCAATCTGCACACAACTGGCAAATGGCATTTCTTACACGTAAAACCACAAAACTAATTGTTAACGTAAATTACTTTAAAATGCTGCACATATTTCCGGCATAAATTTTGCATTCCAAAGAAAATTTTTGTGAAAATTAAATGAAATTACGCACATGTTAAATCATTTAAATACAAAATGACAAACGCAGAATGTGAAGTACTACACACACACACACACACACGCATAAGTCAGGGAGTATGTATGAAAAAGAGAAAACCTGCGGATAAGGGCAAAACAAAAACCAACTGAAAAAGCGCGTAGCGAAACAAGATAAACGACACACACACACACACACACACAACAAATTACCGTACAATTTCAACAATTTGCCATAAATTGAGACAACAAGCAACAAAAAGGCGGGCAGGCATCCAGCCAACAGCAACAACAAATGCCGCAAATGTACAGTCATTTTTTGCCACCAACAACTCGAACAACCGCATTCGCACAAAATACAACACACAATACGTATACGCAGCGTTTGCCCATACAAAAAGCAAGTGCGTGGAATTTCCACTACACACAGCAAAGAAAGGGAGAGAAATAGTGAGAAAGAGAGAGAGAGAGCGAGAGAGAGGAAGGGATTGGCATACGGTCACGCACATATTTCGCAACAAAAGTCATTTCAATAATTGCAAAACCACAAATTTACTACAACTCGAAATGGTTGGTTTGCCAAATGGTCACACTCCCAGCTACAGTTACAGTTTCAGTTACTGTCAGAGTTACAGTTACATATACAATATACAGTTACAGTTACAGTATGGGGTCAGCAGCAGCTAAAAATGCAGATAGGTTTAACCGCAAATGCAAAATCCCGTTTGGGACATAGTTTTTGCCCAGTTGTAAATTGTGAGGTGGCCGCAATTTGCATGCCAAAAGTGAAAATAAAAATAACTGAAATGTTTCGTCCATGTTTTCCATGTTCTTGGTACCACGACACAACCGCAAAATCCAAAATAGTTCCAATGGACATCAAATGTCAACAGCAGCATCAGCATCAGCATCAGCCCCATCACCAGCAACATCAGCAGCAACAGCAACAGCAGCATGTATCTGGCACAGGAGCCGGACATACAGGACCCATTGCAATGGGGCACAATCAACTGATGTTGCACGGAAATGAGCGCATGTTAACAACACCAACAACAGCAGCAACAAACACTACGAGTTGTCAACCGACCGCCAGCAAGACAGCAGCAGGAGCTGGAGTTGGAGTAGGCGGTGCTGGCGCAGGGGCAAGCACAGGAGCCAGCTCCCACAATGACAAAATGGCGTCAGCAAGCCGAAATGTCAACGGAAGTTGTATCAACCACAGCAACACCAACAGCAGCAGCAGCAGCAACAACAGCAGCAGCATGGTCAATGCACAACAGCAACAACAGCAACAGCAGCAACAACAAACGTTGACAATGACAATGACAAGAACGGGAGAAGGAGTGGGTGTGGGTTCAGGTCCTGGCCCTGGTCCACCAATGCAGCTGAACAGCCACCGCGTCACCTTAGGCGAATGCAGTCTCAATGAGCTGGATGGCTTTCCATCGTCAGCAGTAGCACCACCACCGCCATCAGCACCAACGCACACACCACAAGCGCCTCAAATGCTGCAGCAGCACAATCTAATGGGCATAGGAGGAATGGGCGACACAATGGCTTTAAGTATGAGCAATCATTGTGCCTATTGCTGCCAGCCAATTTGTGATCGTTATATTATGCGAGTTGTGGACAGCTCGTTTCACGAGGGCTGCTTGAAGTGTACTGCATGTGCCCAGCATTTGGTGCACTCTTGTTATGCGCGAGATGGGAAACTCTATTGTCGCTTGGACTACGAGAGGTAGGTGGATGGGTTATGGGCTGTAACTATCTACCCAGAGTCACAGAACAGGTAGTAAAGTATTTCCTAATCAACAGACTCTACTTGCGTAATCGTTGCCTTGGCTGTGGACACAAAATTGCTGGCGATGAGCTCGTGATGCGCTCCCAGGAAAATATCTTCCATCTCAAGTGCTTTGCCTGCGTTGTCTGTGGAGCCCTGCTAAAGAAGGGCGAGCAGTATGTGGTCAAGCAGGGACAGCTCTTCTGTCGCTTCGACTATGAAAAAGAGGTCGAAATGCTGCAGGGCTATGGTGAGTTAAGAGTCAAAACTATGTATATATCCCTTATTTAAGTCTGATATGCATTTTTGTAGACTTTTATGGTGATGACCTGTTTCCACCTAAAATGGATGGTCGTCGTGGACCGAAGCGACCACGCACCATTCTCAACACCCAGCAACGGCGTGCCTTCAAAGCATCCTTTGAGGTCTCACCCAAGCCCTGTCGCAAAGTGAGAGAAAATCTAGCAAAGGATACGGGACTGAGTCTAAGGATTGTACAAGTATAAATAATTTACTGAATATATCTAATTTATATTAAACTGTTATCGATCTCTCCTCTAGGTCTGGTTTCAAAACCAACGCGCCAAAGTCAAGAAAATACAGAAGAAAGCCAAACAGGAGCCACCCGCCAAAAGTGTTAGCGACACACACTCTCAAGATTCGCAGGAGTCCCAGGATAGCAGCTTGACGACCAAAATCAAGGACGAAGCGCAGAGTGACAGCGAATCGCAACAGGAATCGCCATTCTCTGCAACCTCCGACGGACTGACAAGATTGCGCTGCAACATCAAGGATGAACAGGAACAGGGCACTTTAAGCTGCATGGAAACCAACAAGGGTAAGAAGATAAAAATAGAAAAAATAATCGTACAAAATATCTGTAAATAAATTGCACACCCTAGAAAACTGCAACAAGAACAGCGAGCCCATTCTGAACACCATACTGGGTTTGAGCTATGCGACCTTTCAGCAGCTAATGGGTCCCTTCACGCAGACACCAATGATCAATCCGATCGATCGGCTCTACAGCATGCAGAGCTCCTACTTCCGGCCCGAGGAGCTGGGCGCCTATGGCGAATGTGGCGGCAAGGAGTCCATGGATCACTAGTTCCCGCCAGCAGCTAAACACAATTTTAAGCCAAAATCAAAATTAGAACTTGTAAAATAAACAAAAAATGTTAATGTGCTAGAAACTCGATTAACGTAGTGGTGCAGCAGCACGTGCAGAAAGTACGCAACCGCCACCCAATCCCAAGTGCAACCACCCAGCGCAAGGTTGCGAGACTTTTGGTTGTGTCCTGCAGGTGCAGCGCCCAAATTCGTTCCACTCGGTTGACAAGAACAAAGCGTTTAACACAGCAGCAGAAGCAGCAGCATCAGGAGCAGCAGCAGCAGTAGCCACAACCAACCCCGAAATGGGCAGATTTCCCAAAATGGGCGTAAAATACCGATTCGTCATGCATTGTTCGTTCAATGTGTGCTCTTCGGAGCGACCCTGTTGACAGCCCCGAGCTGTCATTGTGGCGCAAGTCGAGCGACCCCATTTCAGCTTAAATCGGTGACGACTGAGATATCTGAGGCATGCAGGGGCCGCACATAGCATTGGCATGCTTGCAGCGCTTTTGGGGGCGGGGCTTGAACTACTACATAGAACTGAACTCTTCTTGAAAGATTATTCACTCTAGAAAAATATTTTATTCATGTTTTATATTTAGAAAATTTCTTATGCGCATCGTTTTTAGATAATCTTGAAGTTGATTTTCAATTTATCCTACCAAATGAAATAGTTATATATTTTTATATGATTTTAAAGCTCTAATATAATTAAATTGATGCAATTTCTTAAAAAAAAAAAACAGAAATTAACTTAAATTAATAACTTAAGATAACATATTAATGAATAAAAATAACTTGGAAGCAGAACGGATCTTTTATACCAAAACAACTGTTGTAAGTAACATTTAATGGAGTTTATTGTAAAATTTGTATTTGTTTGTGTAAATACATATCCATATATACATGAAATAGTACTTTCCTTCTGGGTAACCAAGTTAGAAAACAGAAAATTAACTGCACTGTTTGTTTATTCGTTATATGTTTTGAATAGGATACTGTTGGTATAGGTTAGATACATGTAAGGATATATATAGAGATATAGGGATAGACTTGTTGAAAGATTTCAATTCCTGCATAGCTAATAGGCCTGCTTGGATTGAAAGAAACCTGCTACCCTTTATTGAATTTGGAAGAGAGCACTGCACGTGCTTGCTTCCTGAGCCTTCCTCCAACCCTCGCTCAGCAGCCTCATGCAATTTGTCACAATATGTGTCACATTAGCCACAGCAATTGTGCTTAAATGTTGTCGTCGTCGTCGTTTCCCTCAGCGCTCGTCATCATCATTTGTGCCGCTAACCAGATTATACCCCAATTGCGACACCCAAAGCTGAGTAGTAAAAGTAGTTAAACAAAGGGACATGCCACACAACCACCACTCACAGTTCATGGACCAAGGATTAACCACTGTTGAATCTTCCGAGCTGGACATATAAGTGTTTTCTTTTACACACTTTTAAAATGCGCATCAGCGGGAACTGAAACTCGAATCGTTCCGGAGGCCAACATCATTAATCAAATGCTGGAAAGACCATAAAACAAGTGCATGGCAAAGAGCCCAATGCAAATGGCTGGCAAAAGTGTCTTGACTTACAGTCCTTTTACCATATTTCTCACTACTTCTACTGCATTCGTGTTTTTACTGGACACTCGCTTGTGGTATAATCGAGTGGCATTTTCGCATGCTGCGACGGAGTCACATTTGCGAGTCGCGCTTTTAAATGGACAAATTACGTAATTAATTGTCGCATTATCGGAGAGCAATGAATGCATTTTAATGGGCATTAAAACCTTCGGTCTGGCAAACTGATGGCAAACGTTAATGTGTCTGCACTATATGCAAAAAATAAGTAAATAATAAGTTTACATTAAAAGATCTCTTATTTGGACATAATTTTATCACAATTAAACCGATTTTCTTCTAGATGAATACTATACTTAAAGTTGGCATCGCAATTCTGGATCAAAATTCAGTTTCTTTAGTGTTTTCATGTACACATCAGTTTGCTTTTAAAAACGATTGATTACGAGATCCAAAATAGCACTGTTTTCCAATTGAACAGGCTCGGTTTTTTCCATAAGCAGCAATGAACCATTTGCTCAGTCGGTTATCGGAACATTATGCAAATTTAACGGCCATTTAGTATCCTCAAAATCTACTGCAGATTGCCGTTTGAGTTTTATGAACAAGTCAACAAAGTAGAGGCGCTCAAAAGCCAATCAGCATTGTGAATGGTTAACAAAAATTCATTTTTCAATACTTTTTCACAGTCGTAATATCTTTGTTCGATTCAGTCACACGCCGTTATGGCAACAATAAAAATCAAAAGTCAATTGAATTTTCCCAATAAATACAGCTCAGTAAAAGCAATGCACATAAAAGTGAGGGGAAAATGTGTATTTGCAGTAAAAACAAAGCAGAGCAACGTCTGTCAATATTTTATTATTTTATCACGGTCTGAAAGATGACAATACTTGTGACTGTGTGCAATAATATTGTTTTAATTATATTGGATGCTGGGAAATATGCTGAAGCGAAATGAATATGCGTTGATGTAGGACTTAAGTGGTCTTATCTATATAAATGCATATGTATTGTATGCTAGATAAAATATTTTTATTTGACGAATGATTGGCATGTAGATCCCAAGATAAAAAATCCGCATCCAGAGGCTTTTTAAAGATCTCTATTAAAATTAATTTGTACAAAAATAGAAAATTAAAAGAATAGGCCCGAGCAAAGCCGAAAATTTACCTCCAACCAAGTGTTCAACAGTATTTATTTACATACTTGCCTCTCTCTATGTGTATATATGTATGTACAAACGCGATGTTGATTTTAGTTCAATACGATAACAGAGCACCATCAAGTTACCAGCGCCGAGAACTCTGTGCCGACGATCAGTTGCCTATCTGCACTCAAAGCGATTGCACGCAGCAGCACACAAAGAGAGTGGGACGCCAAAGAGATTTGAGAATCAACAGAGAACTAAACCTACAAAACGTGATCTCAATTAACATCAGCAAAATGGCGAGAATTCAAACTGGTGAGTTAGAACCGGCCACTGAACTGATATTGATAGAGAGATAGACAGAGAACGAGATACAGAGAGAGAGAGAAAGAGAATGAGTAGAAAGTGCCGCATATCTCGCTTTCATTCAATATATATGTAAATAAAAATTTGCCTTACAAAATCCAAACAATCGACTAAGCCAATCTTCTACAGTTCTTGGAAGCATTACGCCCAATCTGCTGGGCCGTACTCTCACCCACGAGCATGTGGCTATGGACTTTGAGCACTTTTACAAGCCGCCACCGGCAGATTTTCAGAGTGAACTGGAGCAAAAGATTAGCATGGCAACGCTCGGCTATGTGCGTCTATATCCATATTCGAGTAAGGAGAACGTGCGCTTCTACGATGAGGAAGCACTGGAAGCATCCAGAAAGGATGTGCTGCTCTATAAGAAACATGGTGGAGGTGCCATTGTGGAGAACAGTAGCTATGGCCTCAAACGCAATTTGGAATTCATTGTGGATCTGGCGAAGACAACCGGTGTGCACTTCATAGCAGGCACAGGACATTATATACATGCCACACAGGATGCCTCGCACAAGAATCTCACTGTCGAACAGATGACGGATCTCTACTCAAAGGACATCCTCACAGGCATCGAAGTCAATGGTCGCATGGTGAAGAGTGGTTTCATTGGTGAGGTGGCCAGCGTTTATCCCGTTCAAGGTGAGCACAAGATAATAATACATGTTTTTTCTCTAAGTGTATCTCTTGATCTTGTAGAGTTCGAAAGACATTCACTACTTGCCGCTGGTGAAATTCAGGAGGTACTCGGCTGTGGCGTCTCGCTGCATCCACATCGTGTGTCCAAGGCGCCATTTGAAATCCTGCGTCTCTATCTGGAGGCCGGTGGGCGGGCCAACAAGTGTGTCATGTCGCATTTAGATCGTAAGCAATCTATCATTGCCAAATTGAACTTCTGGTAGAGTAGAGTATTCCTGTTGCAGGCACTTTATTTGACATGGATGAGCTACTCGAGTTTGCCAAGATGGGTTGCTATCTGCAATACGATCTCTTTGGCACGGAGTGCTCCTACTATCAACTCAATTCAGCTGTGGACATGATCTCCGATGGCCAGCGCATTGATAATATCATCAAGCTGATCAATGAAGGACTCGTGGACAGGCTGCTTATGTCGCACGACATACACACAAAACATCGATTGGTATTTCTTAATTTGTATATTGTTGTGAATTTAGGTAAATTTGAATTTTTTATACAGACATCCTATGGTGGACATGGTTATCATCACATCCATATGAATATACTGCCAAGAATGTTCCAGCGCGGTGTAACTCTTGACCAGGTCGAGCAAATGACGGTCACCAATCCGGCCAACTGGCTCAGCTTTAGTGCCTAATGAGAAATCGGTTATCGCAGTTGGATTAAAGTGCTCTACTTTATAATTATTATGATTATTTGTTTACATCATGTTTAGTGCGTTGTTGTGTTCATCTGATGATTAGATAAGCTAATCGTAATTGCCAATTATAAAAATTATTGGGTGCATCTTATTTTTATATGGTTATTTGGACAACAGTTCTTATCTTCGAAAGTTTGCTGCAGAATTTTTCGAGATAAAATGCATAAATAAATGTTTAACAAAGAAAAAGAGAGAGAGAGGGAATTTTAAATTTGTTGTTAAATTAGTTGACCTGTTCCATGACGGCGAAACATGTTGCATGATCTGCTGCTTGTGTCAAAGTTACCTCAATGACAAAGTTGAACCTTAACGCTCATAATTATGTTAGGCTCAGGCCCATTACATGAACTCCGTCCGGTTGTTTAGGCTTACAACTTGTCAGGCAACAATCATAAGGCACAGATGTCACTCACTGTCGTGGACATCGGACAGGTCTCAGGCAACACTAAGTTTTGCTGTCGCAATCTAAATGCAAATGGGTTGGCCCAAAAAGAGCCACAAAACCCATAACCAAGAATCTTGCGCATAATGCAGCCAACAGTTGGGGCGGTAAATGAGTGGGCCCAACTCATTTGACGTGTAGATATAGAAGTAGAAGTAGATGTAGTGTGTGTGTGTGTGTGTGTGTGTGTGTTAAAGTGTACTCGCTTTTGTATTTGTGGTGCTATATAAGTAAGTACAAAGGAGCATTGAGCTCGGCGACGTCTGTTTCAGTTACATTTCGGCATTTGGCACAAAATTCATAAATGCTAATTTCAACACATTGTGCATACGTTACAAATATGAATATTTACCATAACTAGGCACGCACACAAATAGCTACTCACATATATATAAATATATATATACAGGCCTGCACACACTTCGATTGTGTGTGAGCTGACAGCTGCCTCGATGCTGGTAACAGCCGCAGTGGCAGCCACAAACGCAGCCGTTACGAGAAGACCCCCCCAACCCTGGTACGCCCTTCTGGACGGTGCACGAAGAGAATGACTTTGAATCAAATATTCGAAATTCTAGTAAGCTATACTTGATCTAAGCACGAATCGAAAATCTTAAAATAAGTAATAGTGGAATTTTAGAATTGCTAAATACTTTAAAAGATTTGAAGTCGCGTTTTCAAGTCTAACGCTTGAAATAAATCTTGTTATCGTATTCTGACTCACTTGAAGTATTTAGTAATTTTAATGGCATATACGATTAGTTTTGAGTACGTTAATTTGTGAGATTTTTCTCTCTGTGTAGTCATCTTTATCGGCAAAAGGTTTTGCTATGGCTTTAGCTTTTAGCTGGTGCTGGGGCTTGACTTTGTTTCTGGTTTAATAAAAGTCGTTTTGCAAAATGAAGCAATTGTGTGTGCGTGTGTGTGAATATATATGTGTGTGTGTGTGTGTGTATGTGTGTGCGTGTTTTCTAGTTTTGAAAGCACAGCCTGCCTCAAAGCCTCAAAACGTATCTCGCAGTTACATTCGTAGCCCAGACGAGTCGATCTGTGTGCCCATTTGTATGTATGCCTGTGTATGTTTGGCAAATATGCGTCAAATCACACAGACGCACAGTTTTTGAATACCAAATGGAGACTAGAACTCCAGACACACACACACACGCACACTCACAAACACACTCGAAAGTGTAGTCAATGCATAGCTAGGCATATAGTCCATATTTGTCTACTTGATGCCATAGATTGAGATTGGTTTTGCCGCCTGGTCGTCGTAATTGGTTGCATGCTCGCCACTTGGCTACCAAACATGAATTGAAATTTTTCAATTGAGTATGAGGCCTTAGAGCCACATTATTAGTTTAAAGTTGTTCGTAAGAGAAGCCAACTAATGAGTTTCCAATAGGCCTAAAAGTGGCCAGTAAGTGGCGCCACCCTCGAAACGTAATGAGAAAAACGGATTGTAAGCAGCGCCAGATGCTGCAACACCCCTCAACTAGTTACAATTTGCCAGCTGCTGACCTCAAACCCCACAACCCAGCCATACCCCGCCCGCTCCCCAGCGACTGCAGGTAATTTGAATTGCAAAATCTTTTCCAAATCTAACTTACACTTATGGTTCAAAGCGTATCCTTTGCGTATCGAAACCAGTTAAACATGACAGGACATCAAAGGGGCGTAGTTCACGAAAATGAAAGTATCCCCGATTGACTTTTGTGGCCGGCAACAAAACTTGAAATGTAAATATGCAAATGAGCAACATGATGTTTTATGCAAATTGCGTTTATAAATATTTAAAGCGCATTTCGCAACGGACCAAATTCTGGAGCATGCACGAAATGCATTACATATTTCTAACTATACATATACATATATATATATGGAATGTTTTTCATTAAAGCAACAACAATAACAAGAGCAGAAAAGAACGCTTACATCAAATGGATAACAGCTGTATATATATTTGCAAGTGAATTCAAAGTCGTGTGCATGTATTAAAAAATATCTTGTAGATACTTTTGAACCAAGAGCAACTGGCCTCCCCACGCCTCCCCTCTCATCGACTAGAACTTGGTACTAGAAGTGGTCTTTAGTATGACGACGGCATAAAAAATAAGACGTTGGCTATCCAACTGCCAACGTTGTCGTCCTTGTAGCCGTTGCTGCTGCTGCTGCTGCTTGGCAAAAAATGTTTTTATTACATTTCGCGCTCGCGTATTTTGCGCTACTCACGAAATACTTGATGCCAACACAGCCGCAACAACAAAGGCACCAAGCACTGTAAGCCAACTCAGAATAAATATCAAACGGGGCAAAAAAGAAGCGAGCCAGCTCAGCCATCTTCCCCTACCTATCCCCACTCCCCGCATCTTACACCCCTGGCAGTTACACTCGCACTCAAAGCCGCGCGCATCAAAGCGTATTCACAAGTGGTCCTTTGCGCTTTACTGATTTCGCAAAGGCTAAAGGATATTTAGCAAGAAGTCCTTCTGCGATTTTTTCTGCGTCCTTTCTGCAGAAGGCACTCTGATGATACTGCGCCACTAAAGGAGTTGTCTTGGAAACTTTTCTGCGAGCTACTCAAGTCGCTGCTCAAGTTATTGTTGTGCCCAGGCAGGGTGCTCTGCCAAAAAAAAAAGTGAGAAAAGAACACCATCAAAAAACGCTACGCGGAAAAATTAAAAAAAAAAAGTAAGAAATGAAAATTGGAAAAAGGGAGGTTGTATTTAAGGAAATCAGATACTTGGCAATGCTTGGTTATCTTGAGTAGTTGATTATAATAAAACCGATTTACAAAACCCAAAAAAAAAAAAAACAGAAATGACGAGTTAGCAAATGCGTGCTAATTTAAAGAAGTAATATTTTGTAGGCCGATAAATATGCTTATCAATGAAGTCTTAGTAGTCAAGATGTGATAACAATTCAAATTTAGATAAAGTGGGTGTTTAGGGTGTTATCAGTCATGGCAAGTTTGCCAATGCAATCTTTTATATTTGTTGAGATTGAAGCACTGAGTTGGATAAATGAATTACGCACTATCGTTATAGTTATCATTATCCATAATTTCAATAAAAGATTTTTTATTATACACTTGAATTTCACTTTAAATGCTTTCTTCACTGAAGATCATTTCAGTTGAATTTTCTGTTATCAGCATGGAAAATGCTCGAAACTTTTCCGATTACTCAATGCACTCTTATCACCTTATCATATCATCCAAAAAAGTTGTTAGGAGATTGCAATTTGAGACTCAAGTGGAAAGGAAAAGTCGCTGTGCATTTTACACAATCTCTCAAAAACAAATCCCGTCAGCATTTAATAAAAATGTTCCCCAACCCTTGTGCCGGCTCCTGATACCTTGATACGACTTGTTGGCGGCCTCAGTATGACTTTCTGTGTTTTTTATGCATGCAGATTATGTTTTCATTAAATTATGGTAGCTATGGTTACTTTTATACAATCCAAAGCTACTTCAAACGCGAAAGCGTGCGACCAGCTCCGACCCCCGACCCCCGACAGCCCTCAGCCCTCAGCCCCAACCCAAATCCTATGGGGACCCACACCATAAAACATCGCCGAGCAGAAGAGAGAACAAAATCGCAAAGGAAAAGAATGCGCATAATAGAAAGTAATGTGTAGCTGGCTTCTGAGATGCGGATGGGGATGGGGATGGGGACGCGGATTGAGGAATGCGTGGGTGGTTTGTCTGCATTACAATTGCAAGAAGTAGTCGTAGAAAATTGTAGTTTATTTTTATTGCATTTATTGCTCCGCTCATCCCGCCCACCCCAATTTGACATACATGCGTGCATTTGCATGCAGTGTGGCATGTGCGAGCCAGTGACTAAAAGCGGAAACGGAAACGCCATCTTTTTCGACTCTAAATTTACACGTATGCGTTAGTGTGAGTTCGTGTGTAGTTTCCACTGATGCTGCTGCTGTTTTTGTTGTGTGCTTTCAGTGCGGCACGTACATTTATTACTTTTTACACATACACACACATATTGAGGAGATGTCGGCACATGCATGCAAAACGGTTTTCATTTTTTATTGCGAGAATGTAACGTGCCGCATGCGAATTACTTGCTACGCGTCCCCTCCCCAGCTCCCTACCGAAGCCATGGCCCTGCCACTGGCTGTGCCACCAATTCTGCTTCAGATGCTGGCTTTTCGGCCTTTCGCCACGTTTAATGTTAACTTTTTTTTTTTGTGCCGCTGCTGCGCAGAAAATATGAAAAATATTCGTAATAGAGTTGTTTGAAATGTACAATAAGCTTTTCAAGTGGCTTCGGCAACTACCCAAGCTGGCAGCGTGGGGCTCCATTTACAAAGCACATATAGAGAAATGGGTACGAAAGCAGCATAAAGTGCTGCTTAACTGCTGGCAACCTTATTGTTAACGATCTGTGCCAACAGCAATGGGCAATATTTGAAAGATGGCCACTAAAAATCAATGCTACTCAATGCATAAGTCGAGCAATATGATATGGTTTAACAATATATATAATATCTTTGCACCTAAGAGGGCATAAAATAAAACAATTATTATGAAAATCAGGAAGTGTACAAAGCAGTGTATTAAATATTTTAATTTCAACTATATGAAATATATATTTGATGTAATTTAACTCGCTCTTAGTCGTGTTAAGTCAAAGACACCCACTTTCTTTCTTCGTGTTGTGAATTTTTATAGCAAGTAATCAAGTACTAAATATATATGAAATTAATCTTGAATCTTGAATCTTTTATTCACTTCGAGTCGAGTCGTGCTTTTTGTTCCACAGTTAACGTGTTAGTCAGTCAGTCAGCCTGCCATAATGCACATCCTTATCCTTATCCATAGTCTTGCCCTACGCGCAGCTATATATGAAGAATTTTCGCTATTTATACATATATATATATATATATATGCATTACATGCAGGGGAGAGCAGCGAAACGAATGGAAAATTTTAATAATTTCTGCATCTTTCAACACTTTGAATAAAAATTGTTGCTTTGATGGTGGCAAGCAGCAGCAGCAGCAGCAGAACAGAACAGAACGTAACTAACAATAAAACTTTTTAGTGGGAAGCGCCAAAAGAGACGACAAAAAATATGGACACATATGAAGTCATAAAGTCATATTAACACGTACGAGTGCGCACAGGATATTAATGTGCAACACTCACACACACACACACAGATAGACACACACATCCCTCAAAGGATGTAGGGGCATAGTTTTTATGCGCCAAGTTGCATGACTTCAATGTTAATATAATTTCAAATATTGTGGTTAATTTTTTTGGTACGTGCAACGCAGAACGGAAATGAGTTCCACATTTTTTGGCCAGTTTTGCCACATTTATTTTTATATATGCGAGTTGCATTTGCAAATACAAAAACTAATTTCAGTCGCGGTTCCATTCCCCAAAACCCACTATTAAAAGTAGGCACAAACTTTACGAATTTCGCCAGTGGCAACGGAAAACTGAAAGCTGGCAGCTGACCACAACGCTGAAATTGCAATAAACAAAACGGATGCGAAATTGTTGTTCGCTTTTTATTTTTATTTTTTTTTTGTTTTTATTTATTTTATATTATTTTTTTTCTGTGTTTGCAGAGACAAGCGCAGACACATTGGCCAATACACAAGAGCCCACTTGACCAATCCCCCGAATGCAGCCAGCCAGTAGTCAGTGGTGCTGGCAGCCCTTCAATGATTTTTGGTCAATTGGATGACACTGCGAGCGGGGCAGCTGACAAAAGTCAGGAGTCCAGTCCCGGCAAAAGTAGGGTGTACATGTGTGTGCTGCTCTCATAACCACAATCGAGCTCATTCGCGAGGCCACTTATTGGTAGGCAGTGAGGGGTTGTCCTTACCGATGCCCGAAGCCAAAATCGCCATGGCAATAAATTGCTGTACTGCGTCCGGAGCACCGCCTGCCAGCGGCATTCAACTCGAGTTGAAATTGGTCAAAAGTTTAACATATTTGCGTGTGTGCGGTGAGGGCTTTTCGGCTGCAACTGGAGAGTGAAGGATTTTTGGGGGTCACATCCTACTCCTACTGCTCTTACACCCACTGCTGCTGTTGGCCATTTTGGCGCATTTTTGGGTAAATAACCGAACTGCTGCCACCACTGCATAGTCGAGTGCTGCCCGCGGGCACGTCATGGCCATCATGGCTTGGCACTCTTGTGACGGTGACGCTGACCGTTTATGAGTTTCGTCTGTCCATTTGTCCCATTTGAAATTAGATTTGTTAATGGCAAATACATGCATAACGCAATCAAAAAGCAAGTCGTGTTTTAAATGATAAGAAAATAATAGATTTCAATATTAACAAAAATTTGACAGCATTTAAAAGTAGTTTAACAAGCGTAAAATAATAAATAATCAAATAAATTCATAGCTATAACAATTAACAACTGCATTTGCTCAACATTTTGTTCGCACAATACTTTCAAATATATATATATATATATATATATATATATATATATATATATATATATATGGTATATGTATATTTATGTTTGTATATATATATGTGTATATATACTGTTATTTTACATTCAAGTTTTGACTTCATTTGCACTAAGTTATTAACTATTAGATTCAACTAATTTAAACACTATAAGATTTCATTTCTGTCTTGACTGCGCCTCTAATTCGTAAGGAACGTTTAATTATTTAAGGCCTCAAGGCAAAAAGGCAGCGCCTAACATTTAAACCTATTCGAGCTTTGGTATTTGTTGTTGTATTTGACATCAGCTAAGAGATTAACTAACAGACTAACTAGCTAACTACATACATGCTACAAAGGCCACACACAACCGTGTTAAAGCATTTGGGACTTGAGAAACTTTGCAAGCCGCTGCTTTGGTATATTGTTCAACATGACTAACTTTTCATAGAGACAGTGTTGTACCCATCAATGGTGACTGATAGATTTCAATATACATATATATATATATAGATTAGAATTAGTTTTAGGCTAGACAGCTACGCGTAGCTCGCGTTTTTACTATAACTACAGTTGTGGATATTATCCATTGCACTGCACATGTTTGGTTTTTACTGTATGGCACACACAGCGGAGGCGCCAGTATATTGATTATTTAGACGACGTCGCATGCCCTCCAAGTAAATGTCTCGACTGAATAAGCCAGCGGCAAGGGGTATGCTACAAAATGAAGAGTTGTTTAAAATGGCATTGCTCTGCTCCTCCATTTAAGATTCACTTACGCATCGCTGCCCGCTCTTATTAGTGTGCGAAACAGTGCCCAGACTGGCTTGTGATCGGACGTCGTTATGGATGGCACTGAATCATAGAGTAGGCACTGTATATATGGCTGTGTGGGCGTCGATATGCCCGGCACAGTGCTCTGTCGTCGGATGACCAGACCCTGCACCTGGCGATATTTATAGAGGATGCGATCCGTATACGCCGGCGCACGCTGCTTAGAGGACGTATCAAAGTTTTGACTGCCGGGATCGTACTGGAAATAAGTGATAAAAATTAATTTATAATATATAAAATAATATATAATATATAATTATACTTTGTAAGTGGGAGGAAACGTTATGTTTGCCTCCATGAAGCCACGAAAGGCGGCGCCATCGGCCAGCACCGAGGAGAGCTGATCCGTGTGCATGTAACCATGTGGCAAATGCGAGGGTAGCGGAAATTTTGTATTCTGTATCCAATCGAGCAGTTTCTCGCGCGGCTCACCCAGCCGGAAATTGAGATCACCACACCAAAAGACATTGTCGAAATTCTGCGTAACATCCTTATTCTTGTGCCGCAAGTTGGGCAGATTCTTGGGCAAATCCAGAGCATTGATGATGCGTTTGACGTCCGAGACGCGTTCCTTGACCTTCTGCTGATGCGCTGTCAAGTGGGAAGTCACAAACAGCATGGATGTGCCAAAGAGACAAAACGATATAGCCACAGCGCCCTTGGTGCGAAAGGCGGAACCCGTGCGCACAGACATCGAAGCATCCTCGGGCGCCGAACAATACCAAATGAGATCACGACGCATGTAGACGGCCAGATGAAGGGTTCCCAGTGTTGTCGAGTGGAAAAGCACATGCGACGGTCCCAGCGTCTCCTGCAGCGTCACCTCCCAGTCGAAACGATCCGGACTGGACTCCTGGGTGCCCATGACAACCAAGTCGGGCACATGTTCCACATTCGGTGGCAACACAAAATCATTCATTTGTCTATGGAAAGAAATCAAATGAAGTGAGCTAGCTTTTATTGGTAAGAAGACGTTACTCACTTGGGCGGACTGTGACCGTTCATGTTCCAGGTGCCCACGAAGATGGTGACCTCTTTCTGGGGCAGCACGCGACTCAGCTCACTCGGCCCCAGCAGCGAAGAGGAACCCAGACGCCCGTCTAGATAGCTCCGCTCGCGAGCCTTGTCCGCAGGTATGAGGTTCAAAGCCTGTGCAGCCATCAAGGCCTGTCGGGCCAAATTGGAACCGGAACCCTGACGATGCAGCGTCATGTTCTCGTGCGACATGAAACGCATTCCGGGCAGCTCTGGGATACCCGCATCTAATTGATCCGGTAGCATGGCAATGTTTGGCGAAGACATATGCTGTGGCGTTGTGGCACGCTTTAAATTATCCGCACTCTCATCCGCTGTCAGCGGCGGCTGCTCTTGTCCCGGCGGAAACAGTTTGAGGCGCAGTCGCGATCGGCAAGCGGAGACAGCAATCGGTCGGATTGGTGCCCGCTGCAGCGTTTCGCTACGGTTGGACGAATTCGAGGGAGAGTAGTGCGACTGGTGAATGGAGGCACCAGAGGCACTGGCGCCGCACTGCGCGAAAAACGTTTTGTTAGCCACTGGAGATTCGGGTGCACTGGCGCATTCGCTGGACGGACGCGGACGCTGTGGCTCCGGCAATTGATTGGATGCGGCGCCCTCGCTTGAGTGCGAGTGCAGCGAACCCGAATTGTCCATCATGCTCATGCTGAGCGAGAGATTATCGCGTCGCAACACATTCCCAGCTTCAATCACGGCATCTGGTATTGAATTGTAGCGCACAGAAATTGGTGGCGTCAGCGGTTTCTTCTCGGCCTTGCAGCACAGACTGAACTGATGGCTAAGTCGATTGTGGTTTGGCGAACGTTTCTTCGGTGACTTCCGGCGCATTATCACATCCGCACCGCCATCACTCTGCGATCCGGCATCGCTGCTATGACGATGTGTATGCCCTTTGCTCTTCGAAGTGGGATTGCCACGTCTGTGAAAGCTGATTAGGCCACTATGCGACTTATCCAGCTGCTGAGTGGGCGCATTGGAATTGTTGGGCAACGTTTGACTTTTGTGTGTGCTCGCTTCCGCCGAGCATTTGGCGAAACTGACATCGTATTGGCCGCATGCCGATGTGGGTCGTCGCTGCTGCACCACTGGCGATTCGGGAGTCACCGGATGCGGCTCCACTTTGCTTGGCCGTTTGCTGAGCAGCCCGAAGAGCGTTGTGCCCGATTTTTGTGTGGAACGCGGACTGTTTGTGATGCGCTCCTCGCTGCCCGCACTCCGTTGCATGTTGGAGAGTTTAATTAACTAGATATAATTAATCTATATATTTGTTTTATAGTTATCCAGGATTTGTTTGAGCAGTTTCAATACATTTGCAGTCGCTCAATGAAATACTTAGTTATTATCACATGTTTCTCCATTTGTGCTTCTGTTTTGTGGACTTTGATGAGCATTTTAGCTTCTTGTGGGACTTCTCTTTACCTCTTTAAAGAAAACTTTAAAGAAATCGATTTTTGTATGTTTCGTTTTGAATTAGATTCATGATTCGTTCCATTTTGCGAGTGTTTACTGTAGTTGCAGCAATTCTGAATGGTTAAAATTACTGTCGAAATGTTTGTCTGATGACGTTACACATATCTATGTATATATATGTGATATATATGTATGAAATCCTTCCACTGATATGCTCAGCCCATGATGAGCTTTTAACAGTTATTTGCTGTTTGGTGCTGCAAAGGTAAAATACTTTAATCAAATGGGGCTTTTAATGGGCACTAAACTCATTTCACTCACCTGCTGCCGCTTCTTGTGCGTGGGTTTAACTAAAATGTCCAGGAATCAGCGAGCGCTGGAAAAAAAATCAATATGAATCGTAATAAAAAAATAAAAAAAAATGAGGCAGCAGCAGTAACTTTGAAATCAACCCTCCCCCGCACGTTGCCCTGAGCAATTGTGGGACGCCAACAGCAGGAATAATAAAAAGAAATAAAGAGAGAAATAAAAGAAACGGCAACAACAACAACGAAGACGTAACGACATTGGCATCTAGCTGCCGATGCGGCGGCTGTGACGTCCGCCCACGCACAAAAAAAAAAATTAAAAAAAAAATAAATAGAAATAAATAAGAGGCAAAGCAATCGTTGGCGACATCAGTTGATTTGTGCGCCGGTGCGCTTCTATGCTGGGATTTATAATTAGCAGCCCATTGTTGCCGCCAAACGTTAGTGTTTTTCTTTATTCTCTGGTTGCCTTGAGTGTCTGTGAGACATCTGGCGAAGTCTCGAGCACACTGAAACACCAACAATTGCAACAATGACAGCAGCAGCAGCATGCCACGCACAAACTAAATTCAAGTTCAGGTTCAGGCACAGTGCAACAAAAACAATATTTACACTTTTTTAGCGACCTCGTACCTCGATCTAGCATATTTTATGCTTCCTCGCGTGTGTCATGGCCCGCGAACACAAACTGAATATTGTTTATTTGGCCAAGTTAATCGATACACAACTCGATTGAGCGATAATTCGTCGTGCTATTCGTGCTATCGTACATATCATAGAGCATTCGGCAACAGACTCACAATTGCGTTAACGTATGCTGTTAATTAGTGAGCTTATGTTACAAAAATCAGAAAAGCTAAACACTTTGAATTTATTGTCAGTGATTAACAGCTAAGAAGCGTGCTTTATTATTGATATTTCACACAATCATACGACAAGCAGCTTGCACATTTTTATTGATGTTTTCAACCTTTAAATCGAATGCTTACAACAGCTGACTGCAGTGTGACCGTAAGTTATTTGCATACACTGTTAACCGCCCGTTTCGATAGAAAATACACACTGTGACGATAAAATCATATCGAATTGTAGTAAATACCTGCATTCGTATTTTGCACATTCGGCGGGCTGAACGCAGACATGGCTGCCCAGACAATACTCTTCGATTTCACACTGGATGCTGGCAAAACGGCAACGGCGATGCAACGCCAGGAAGTCGCTAGGATTGCCCGCAACGAGCTGGAGCATGTGTTCTCCCAATTGGAACTCGCCTACTCGCTGGAGTCCATGGACAATGGCTATTTTTCGGTGCTGCACGAGAATAAGGAGACGATAATCACCTGCCGCATATTTCCGCAGGGTTTGCTAACCATCAATGTGGAATATTATTTGGCTGCCGGCAAGGAGCCTATCATGTCATTTGATGTATGTATGTATAAAGCTCACATTACACATTTCTCTTCATTTTTTTTTATATTTTTTGTTTTACAAATACACACATATATATTCTATGGTACCCATACACGTGCCACACACAGACAGTCAGTCGGCTTGATGGTGTGTGTGGGAGCCCCCACAAAAAGGGTTTTGATTTCCATTGTAGCCGCAAACGTCACGGCGAAATTGATTTTTCGCCCGCCCTCTGTACGTGTGTGTGGGTGTGGGAGTGTGTATATGCCCTTGGCCCTCCTGCGCGTGTGTGTGTGCCAACATACAGTTTACCATTAATTTTTTTTTATTCCATTAGCGTTGCTTGCATTGTTTTTGCATTTTATTGAAAGCGTGTTGCCTACTTAATCAAGCATCACGAGCTGGCCAAGACCCTAAGAACTGTTATCTGTGTGTGTGTGTGTCTATTATATCATAGTGCGGCTGTTTTACACACTATCCGAAAAGTCTTACTGTTTGTTCAGCATAAAAACTTACTATGTTATTAGGCTCAACTTTATTACCAGCCGATAAAAACTTTGCACAAATGAAAATCTTTAAAAATCTCAAATTTTAGAGCGACCCACTTGCAATACTCTTGCACTGATTTATGGGAAAGGGTATGCGTAGTTTCACACGTCGGCGTAACACGCTCCTCGCTCTCTCTCTTTTTGTCTCGCTCGTGGTGGATGGAAAGCACGTGGGTGCAATTTTCGAGCATTTGTTGTATTGATTCCTAGAATAATTGCTGCATTCGCTCGCATCTCTCTTCTCTCTGAAACAGCTGCGCTTCTCAGTAAAGTTTTGCCTTTGTTTATGTTTTTTCTAAAATAAATAAATACATTTGTGTATTTATTTGCACCGGCAACTTTCGCTTGTTGATTAAATGTTTGTTTTTTTTAACCGCTGCTTTAGCTAGAATTTATACCGCATCCGATTAGAAGCTGAAACAGAAGCAGACGACACTTGTGAAATACTTTCAATTTTCGTTCGAATCTACAATCGCAAACTATAAATAGTTGTATGGCGGGGTCTGGCTATATTTGTTGTCAGAAAAACATGAGAATAGTTTGAATAGTTTACGCTTGTGGACATTTTTTTGTTTGAGACTTTGAATTTATTTTGCTTTATTTTGCATTTATTTTCTTTTATCACACAACAGCATTTGCAATTTCATTAGGATAACAATAAAATACTTAGGTTAAATTGCCTAAGCAATCTTGTATAAACTAGCAAATTACAATTGCAGACAATGCGAACAATGGAGCTTATACTACGACAAAAATTAGATTCCGATCGATCCAAGTATTTACCGCCGATAAAACGTGGTGGATATATAGACATATACATGACTAGCTCAGGTTGGTCAAAATACCTATTAATTTACACAACAAAATCAAAAACAAAAAATCCAAAATAAGTTTAGTTTTTTTTGCTAGTTTTTCGTGTATGCAACATACAAATGCAGTATATATCAAGAGTTATGCAATCCTTATATTCGTACTATATATCTTCCTATGCCGAACTCTCTCTCTCTTTATATATATTCTAAAACTATTGCCAAAACTTGTACCTCAAGCTGTGCAACAAAAAAAAAATGAATCATTCACAAACTATAATTATCGATTTGGCATATTTTCATATATTCATTAACTATTTGGTTGCACGGGCCGTTAGCCAACCTATATATGGCTCTATAAATTTGCAAAGCGGCTTCTTACAAAAATACAAATAAAAATAAAAATAAACCACCAAAGAGCATTCCTTTCAATGGCATTCTTTAATACCATCGTAGTCTTTCACATATCCCATTGTACTATATAAACTCGGTTTACCCTATAGAAATTGCCTTCATAATTGCGGCAGTTGTTGCATGCTTGTTTCGTCGTGCTAGATTCGCTTTAATTAGCGCATTATTTTGTTTTACTTTTAAGAATTTCTTATGATTTTTAATTTATGTTCAAAAACTATCTTTTATTTTTTATTTATTTTTTCTTATTTTCATATCACCATGAATACACAAACCGAAAAAAAACAAACCCACACGATGTCTATGGTCGTCTGTCTATCATCATTATCGTCATTGTGATCATCGCCATCAAACAACAACATGAACAAAATTTCCTCAAAAAAACCAACAAATATATATGTAAACCAAATTAAATTGTACGTACACCCTACTATGCACATGTCTCACCGTCATCCGCGACCCCCGCTCGTTCGCTCTATCTCTGTCTCCCTCTGTCATGATACCAACAACAATGTACAACATCGACAACAACAACAACAACTATAACAACCACCACAGACTGGCAGACGTATGGAAAATGCCATAGCCAAAAATTTGAATGCCCTTTCGGGCCAAAAGATACCAACATTGAAGCGGGGCGATGTCGCTAGGTATTATCCATCCGCAGGTAACGTAATCAATAATCAATAATCATAACTTAAACTATATCATAATATTCATATAAGTAGCTGAGCAACTTGAAGCACTACGTCCAATTTGATATACATAATGAGAGCACAGAGCATGTTTGCATACATTACTTGTCATTCAAAAAATTCGATATATTTTTACTTCAGTTTGAATATCTTTATTAATTTACTTGGAATATGTATATATATATATATATACATATATAATTCTCTGCATGCATGTAGGTTTATATATATATAATAGCCTCTCAAAGTAGTCAGTCTGTAAATAGCGACGCTCACATTTCAAATATTAAAAGTAATTGTAGTAATTTCTCGCCATATTGTTTCACAGATGAGCGCATTATTGAATATGATATTGATACTCTGGTGTATGAGACACGTTCGCCGTTTCAGAAGATACAAATCATGCACTCCAAGACCTTGGGCAATATGCTAATTTTAGACGAGTTGCAGAGTAAGTAAATGCGACCAGCACACGTGAATTTGCAACCCTTAATGAAGGCGCTTGTAAGGAGTAAATTAAGGTCAAGGCCGATAGTCCAAAAACAGACGAGGGTTGCACATCACGTTTCGAAATAAATCAATTGTAAACGAAACTAACTCTTTACTTTTATCCAGATATTGCCGAATCCGATTTGATCTACACAGAGACCCTTATGGGTCGTGGCATTGAAAACTACGAGGGCAAAGAGATCTGTATACTCGGCGGAGGTGATGGAGCTCTACTCTACGAGCTGCTCAAGGAGAATCCGAAGCATGTCGTCATGCTGGAGATCGATGAGCTTGTGATGCAGGCCTGCAACAAGTACTTGAACACCATTTGTGGCGATGTTCTCGAGAAGCGCAAGACCGAACAGTATGAGATAATTGTGGGTGATTGTGTGGACTACATGAAGAAGTTCATTGCCGAGGGGCGCAAATTTGATTATGTGTTTGGCGATCTAACTGATATACCCATATCGGAGAAACCAATTGGTGAATGCTGGGATTTCATACGCACCATATTCGAGCATTCGTTCCAATTGCTCAAGCCAGATGGCAAATACTTGACCCATGGCAATGGCACCAGTTGCGTGGAATCGCTGCAGTTGTTCGAGGATCAGTTGCGTTTGCTCAAACCCAAAGTGAAGTTCACCACAACGAAGGCATTTGTGCCATCCTTCATGGAAGAATGGCTCTTCTATCAAGTGACTTTCGCTTGACCAGCTCAAGTGGACACAGATGCGCGACGACTACAAGCACCACACTTAAACTTAGCGAGTAGTACGAACTTAATAACAACAACAACAACAACATCAACAGCAACATTAACAATCCCCTCGTGTATAACCAGCACACAAAATGTTCTTACACCCGCAACACAAGACGACACCAAGGAGCCGCTGATACTGCTGCACAGCTACACAGTGATATTGCATGCTGCTAAACAAGAGCAGAAGCCACAGAATCTACAGAGCCTTAAGCCACGGCGCCAGAAGCGTTCCCAGAAACGTGTGCATTATCATCATGCTCTGGTTTCCTAGTGGAGGCTAATATTTTAATCATAATTGTGACCAAATTAGACAGTGGAACTACATTGCATCACCACCAACAACAACACAACACAGCAAAACATCCAAAAAATGAACACACACACTTCCAAGGGCTGTAACTAGCATCTGATAACCAAACCAAATATTTAAAAGTCCAATTGATATAATTTAAGTTAGGATATTTAGTTGTGTTTTACGTTCATTGATTTTAGAAAAGAAAATGAAAAACCAAAAACAAAAAGCAAAACTAAAACTAAGTCTGGATCGAGCAAAATGCAAATGTTATGTACTTATTCGTGCTTATTTAAATTATATTTAACGTTTAGTATATGCATATACACATACATTATGTACTAACGTACTCATATTCTTATATAAAATATATACACTTAGAACTCATTATTTAATTTTCAATTAGTCGCTCGACAAACGGAGAAAGAGAGAGCGTGTGTATGCGAAATTGAGAGTGTTAGGAGTGTAACTTATAGCTGATGTCACTTGAAATGTTTGAAAATTATTAATAAAATGTCGTACGCAGAACAAACAATTGCTATAAATGCATTTTTCAATCGCTGAAGGATAAACAATCGCATTTAATCCATCCATTTACATGCTCAAGTGAATAAAAAAAACAATAATTTTTGAAATTCAATTTGAATTTGCCGCTCAAAACAAGTCGATGTTTTGCGGCAAACAAAAATCGAAATCGATAAAAACAGACTGTAGTCGTATATCGATACACCGATTGGCGATTTACAACCGAATTAATAGAAAGCTAAAATTTCATTCGCGAAACGAGTGCCGGAGGCAGCGGAAGAAGAAAAGTAGTGAAAGAAAAATGGATCGAAAATTGCACAGTGGCATACATCACCCAACGCTGCGTCTGCTGCAGGAATCAGGCTGTGAAATACTGCCCCACAATCTGATGTACCCGGTGTTCATCATCAGCAACGACGACGATGAGCAGCCAATTGCGAGCATGCCGGGAATCTCACGTTACGGCGTGAATCGATTACGCGAGCACTTAGAGCCACTGGTGGCGAAGGGACTGGCATCTGTGCTGCTCTTCGGTGTCGTGGACTGTGGATTGAAGGATGAGTTTGCCACTCATGCGGACTCCAAACAGAATCCTGTCGTCCTGGCGTTGCCCAAGCTGCGCGAATGGTTTCCGACCCTGCTCATCGCATGCGATGTGTGCATCTGTCCCTATGCCTCTCACGGGCATTGCGGCCTGCTTGGTGATGCGGGTCTGGAGAATGCAGCGAGCATCGAGCGCATTGCGGGCATAGCAGTGGCATATGGCAGAGCTGGTGCCCACGTGGTCGCCCCCTCGGACATGATGGACAACCGGGTGCGGGCGATCAAACAGGCGCTGATCGATGCCAAGCTGAACAATGTTTCGCTCCTGGCCTACTCAGCAAAGTTTGCCTCAAATTTCTATGGTCCCTTCCGGGATGCAGCTCAATCGGCGCCTGCCTTCGGCGATCGTCGGTGCTATCAGCTGCCCAGCGGTTCCCGGAATCTGGCCATGCGTGCGGTGCAGCGGGATGTGAGCGAGGGAGCCGACATGCTGATGGTGAAGCCCGGCATGCCGTATCTGGACATATTGCGTCAGACCAAGGACACCTATCCGTATCACACGCTGTACGTTTATCAGGTGTCCGGGGAATACGCCATGTTGTATCACGCCGCCAAGGCGGGCGCCTTTCCACTCCGCGAGGCAGTCCTCGAATCGATGAAGGGCTTCAAACGCGCCGGTGCCGATTGCATTATCACCTATTTTACTCCCTATCTACTGGACATAATCCACAAATCGGCGTAATCGGACTTCAAACAGTACCTCAGAGTTGCCCTTCTTCTCTGCTTGTGTTCAAAGTGTACTTAACAGAAAAAACGTATCTAGTTCGTAAGTCCAAAAACGCGTGCAAATATTATAAGTAGACCAATTTCCAAATGTAAATTTGATATATGTGTAGAAATTTGTCTGTAATTATTTTAGCAAATCATCGAAAAAGCATTTATCTATATACGTTCATAGTCGGATTTGTATTTGTCTGTAGTTGTCATTCAATATGCTTATCTGTTCAATCGTATTTGGAAGTCAAATGCTTACCCTTCCACAACCCACCAACCCCTCCACCAACCTCCACGGCAACAACAACACGAATCCCTCGCGAATGTTGCGTCATAAAACGTTTCGTCAATTAACCGAAAGCAAAGCGCACAATCAGCATGACAATTTGCAGAGGTACAATTTTGAAATATATATATAATGTTATATATATACATATATATAGATATATAAATGGGGGTCAGTAGAAAATAAGAAGTTTGGATTTTTTTGAAGCAACATTTTTTGAATATAGAGTTAAAATTGTGAGAACCTTTGAAGCAACTATAATTATGTCCAAATTTGAAGCATTCTTATTTATATATATACATATATACATGACTGTTTATATATATGTATGTAAATACATAGGAAATAAGAACTTCCGTTTGCGAGAACTTTCTATAAGGTTTCTTACGAAACTTTTTTATCTGCTGAATACAAACTTGAAATTGCGAAAACCTTTCAAGCAATTATAATAATGTTAAAAGTTGTAGCATTCATATTTAAATATATATATGTACTATATATGTGTATACCTGACAATATATACCTGTTCCAACCGGACGCTCCGCTTTGCGTGAAAGCATATTAAATTATTGCTTAGCAGTTGAATGTTTGCACTTTAATTAAATATACAAATTGTTTGTTGTTTTTTTGGTTTGCAATATGGTGAGAATGGAATTGGCCTCAATCTTAAATGCTAAAACCTAAGTGGTATATTTTTGATGTGGTGTGGTGCAATATTAAGTCTTGGAATGTGTTTGTAAACTCACAAAATAAAGTGCATTTAAGTACTTAGATACTCAGTTTAAGTACAACGAATGCGAAAGCACAATTTTCTTTTGTTTTTCTTCTACTTGTGGATACAATTTGAATATTTTTTGATTCTTAAATGCAGAGACTTGGACCACAAAAGCCGTGTTTTGTGTGAGACTTAAGAAACTAATCGATTATATGGGCAGTTGCCAGAACTAAACAGAGCTAAATACTTGCAACCAATTACAATTACTCCGACTAACTATAAAAGTAATTGCATAATTAGCCAAGTAATTGCAAATGAAAACACTACAATTAAAGAAACTACAACTACAACTACATTTCTATAAATATAATTATAACATCTAGTTAGGAAATACTGTGATCGATTGTGGAAATCCTTGAGTGCTATTTTAGTTGCTCTCGCTGGTGTTGATTTTGCTGTGCTCGAGTATGTCTGTATTCTGCATCGGCTCCAGATCCGTCTCGGATATAATTTCAGCCAGCCACTGTTCGATTTGCACCGGATGGAAGGCATCCTCGTCGCCGCTGTTTGCCTCGAGGATGATCTTCAGGTTCTCAAAGTTCTTCAGCACCAAACGCTTGCCCGGTTGCAGTTGCGAGGACGAGGAGATCGCCGACTCGCTGCTGGTGACATGGACCGGCCTGTCGCCAGCATCGCAGCTGGAATCGGCATCCACTTGCACCTGCACAGCCGCATCGCTGCTGGTCACAGTTGCAGTTGTGGTCGTAGTTGTGGTTGCTTCTACTCCTGCTGTGGCAACTCCAGTTGAGGGCTTTTGCTTGAGGCTCTTTTTTATCTCGTTCAAGAGGCGATTGTAAAAGTCACAGGTGGCTTCGTGGTTGTCCGTTGTGGGTGTCGATTCAATGCTCTTTGCCTTGGCCTTCGTCTCCTTGTGCTTCTTCGACTGAGAGCGGGAGCTGGCATTGCTGGAATAGTTGGAGCTGCTGGGTGTGCAGCTGGAGGGATCGGTGGTGGTGGTGCTGGAATCGGCGGATTGAGTTGCAGCAGCAGCAGCAGCAGATGCTGTAGCTGGAGCTTCAGCTAGAGGTAGTTCAGCGCTGACTGCCTCCTCGCTGGCACAGTTGATGGTCAGGCTGGCAATGTTGCGCAGATTAATCGTTCCATTGCAATTGTTAATGGTGATCTTTGGTTTGAAGCGTGGCTTGCGCTGCTTTGGCTTTGGTTTGCCACCGGCCTGTTCGGGACAGACGGAGCTGCGACCAAGACTGGAGACAGCATCGGCTATGGACGATTCCAGCTCGTCGTCCAGCTCCTCCAGATTCAAGGGCGGCACAAAAGTCTCCCGTTTGACTTTTGCCCGACGTATCAAATCCTTGGCTTCCTGCAGCGTTATGTTGATAATCGAACGCTTGGCATTGTCCTCCAGCAGCGCCTTGTTGCGTGAGAAGTCGACGACAATCGCCTCCGGCTGCACTTCATCATTGAGATCGTAGTAGGCTACACTTGACGCCCGATCCTCCAGACATTTGTACATCGTTTCGTGATCATCCACGGGTTCAATGTAATCCTCATTGCGCAGTCCCGCATTGCGATTGTCCTGCGCTCGATGCAGCGCCAGTTGCATATTGCTGTCCAGCTGGAACTGGCCAAAACTCCTTATAGCCAATAGCAGTTTTTCCTCCTCGTTTTTGTCGCCAGTCACGAATCGAATTGCGCACTTCTCGCACTTCTCCTGCTCCTTGTGCGACTCGTAGTCGATGTAAACGGGCGCCGACTGTTGTTGGTGGGTGTTGGCAATTACCTCCAGTTGCCGTAGCAACAACTTTTCACGCATATGCAACGCAGCGCGCACTTCATTAAATTTCTGTTGCACATTTGTTTTTACCTAAAAACCACAGACAAAGGATTATTGAAAATGTTGAGAAATTGCAATTTCCTCGTATAACATTCTTACCTCCTCCAGAAGCAGCTCCATGTTGGCTGTTTAAATAGTTTTTCTTTAATTTTGGTATTAAATAGGCAACATTTTCATCAGAAAGAAAAATATGCAAATTGTGTTTGTTGTTTGATCGAATTTATGTAGCAGACATCCACGGCGAATTGCAAACATATGATTTGCGGCGAAACCCCAAACGATAAGATATCGATAACAAAGGAGAAGAAATTACTTTGCTGATCTGTAAGTAATATTAAGCCCATCATACTGCTCAACATTTAAAAATGCCACAAAAAGTCACTTTTAATAATTGTCATTTATTTAAATTAATTGTTGAATTGTTTACAGAAACATCGATACAGCAACAACACATAACAATAATCTCACCGTTCGATAGCCGCTTCGGCTCTCACATCTCTAATGTGATTTTGACATTTCCTGGAATCTGCTCGCTGTTAATAACAGTCAGTCTGCTACATTTGGCCGTCGTGATTTCTGAGGCGCGGATAAATTTTCGTTTTGATCACACAATTTGCGCTTAATTTCGAAAACAAGATTTCAATAATATTTACGACATTTCCGAAACAACCGACGTCCCCGACACCGACAATAAACAAAACAAAAAAAACAGTAACATAAAAAATATAAATTCTAATAAACAAGCAAACAACAACAAATTAAGTAGCCGCCGCTAATTGTAATTGTTCTGTTCATATTTGAAATGCATGTGTTTTGGCTAAGTTATTTCTTAGCATTGTTCATTTGTTTATATAAAGGCAATTTACTCGCATTGCGTTAGGCAGTGAATCATAGCCAGACAGTTGTTGTTGTTGTCGCTTGCCTCGCACAACTAATCTAAAATAGTGTCAGTGTGTGTGTGTGTCTTGTCTGTGTGTGTTTGTGTTGTGTCTCTTGTTTGTGTTTGCCAACGTGTTTTTGTTTTTCTTTTCTTATTTTTTAGTATTTAATTTCTCTCTGCTTTCTGACAAACAATAAACTCTGTTAAAAATTGATTGCAGACGTGAATTGTAGAAAAGTGCAGCAAGAGCAAATGCGACAACAACAACAACAACAGAAACAATACAAAACATAACAGCAGCCAGGCAACGTGGAGTGCAAAGGCAAAGGCATAAAAAAAACAAAAGCAAAAATCAAAAACATTAAGAATGAGAGAGAGAGCGAAAGAGCGAGAGAGCGCGAACTGTGTCAATGCGGCAGCAGCGATGACGCCAAAAAATTAACAAACACATTATTTGCAACTGTCCAAATGCCACAGCCATGAAGCTGTTATGTTTAAATTAATTGCCTTTAACTAATTTTAATTAGATTTGTGCGACAATTGACGTAGCGTCTCCTCTCCTCCCCTCCCCCTAACCGTTCGGCGCGTAACGTCGACGTCAACGTCAACTCTTTTTTTTGTGTCGTTCGCTGTGACTGCGTTTTTATTGTTGTCTGTTGTCTTTTCGTATTTGTTTCTTTTTTCATTCCATTTCTTTTGGTTTTGCCTTTGCACGATGGTGCGAGCGAGAGGGGCTGTGTTATTAATTGAGCTTTTGTTTTACGGCTGTTTTCTATTTAATATTTATAATATGAATGCTAATAAGTTGTTACAACAAAACACATTTGCTAGTTATCTATTCCGGTTTCAGTTTCTAAACTTAGCATTACATATAACAAATAAAACTAAAAAAAAACCTGTTTGTCCCCGACTAACAAGCATTTGTTAGTTGTCTGTGCGTTTTAAATAAAAATTACCTCATTTCACACACATTTGGTGGCTTTTCACTTGATGCACATTGTAGTTAACAACTATCCTCATTATAGAGATTAGTATTCCAGGGAAACGTGTGCAAAACGGCGATAATAATCAAAGTGTAATAATCAACAACAACAAAAAAGTGTCGAGCAAGTCGAAATGAATTAACGTATTAATTGATCACCCACAAAAACCAGTTACACGCATATATATTAATCAATTTCAAATTTTAATATTCGCCGCATCGAAAAAACCGCAATAAAATTGTTACGGGGTCAATGCTGTTGTTATTTGTTTGAAAAACCATACATTTTTGGTAAGTTTTGCCTTGTTATTACTATTTTAAGTTGCGATTCGCACAATGACGATAGCGATCGTCGAGAAATTATTTTATTCGTTATCTTTCACTAAGCTCAAAAGTAAAAAAAAAAAACATCTTAAAAACAGCTGATATAAGCAGAATAAGCAGAACTCCTAGGGCTGCATAAGCAAAATGCACCAAAATGATCGTTTAATATATGCAACCCTGTAATTTGTTATATTTATTATCTTTGTAATTTAATAATTATATTATATATTGAATTAAACGCATAAATTATTGAAAATACTTTCCACAAATTGCAAATTCCATTGCCATTGAGAGTGACAGATTGCAAAGTAATAAAAAAAATATGATTTACTCACTTCAATGGCAAATTTGATAATCCTGTCTTTGACATTAATTAGCACATAATAATGGGCTTAATTGACGATGCTCTTTTTTTGCTGATTCGTTTGAGACTGTGACAGAATTGATTAATTTAGTTTAATTGCAGTGCAATTAAACAGAAACGAATGCAATTGAAATTTAAACCGCTGTAAACAACATTTGATTTTATACGTTCTTTTGTTTGTGGGTGTTGTTGGTTAAAGAAAAAAAATCAATTTGTTTACATACATATAAATTATTCAAATTTAATTAGTATTCGCAATGAAAGCAATCAGAATTTTAGCATTTATTCAAGTAGTAGTAATAGTGCATTGTGTGTAATAATAATAATCAGAACGCTTGTGTGCAATGAAATAAAATTGGATTTTATTTCAGTTTGAATTTCAGTTTTGTTTTGATTTTTCGTGTGAATAAGGAAATTGCTTGGAGCGCAAACAAAATAAATTCGAATAAAAGCGCCTGCAAAAATTGGAAACTGTAACTACAAATGGTAAACGAAACTCTAAACACACAATAAAAATGGATATATATATATATATATATATATATATATATATATATATATATATATATATATATATATATATATTGTGCACATGCACTGACTATATATTTCGTATATTTTTGCAATAACTTTTGTGCACTCTGTCGTTTAATATTGTGCTTTTGCAAAGTGGCTTTCAAAATGTTTGCAAATTGCCTGAATTTTGAACTCCTGACATGTGAGTTCTGTCTCCCAAAAACACCCTCTCACCTGGTCTCGTAATAAATTTGCATAGCAAAGCCGCTTATTTTAGTATTATTCATGATTCACAGAATGTTGCATAGCAGCAGCACAAAAAAATTGATAAAAGATATTTTCTGTTCGATTGATGTATTCAAGGCTAAAATACTGAATACAATTTTTTTTATTTATTTACATGTGCATATGAGAGTTTAGTATGTGTAAATATATGTAATTTATTTTGAATCAGGTTTATTTAGCAGCTCACTGAACTCAAGTTCTAAAATAAACTCATGCAAAGCAAGGCAATGTAATTTATTTATGATAAATTACACATTTTTTTGAGGTAACCTGTTCTCTTTAGCCGCTGCTAAACAGTATTTAAACCATCTGTAGATTTTCATTAATTTTACAGATTTACCTAATCATTGCCAATATTTGCAAACGTTTCCGCCACATGCACAGTATTTTAGCACTTGTTTCTCCTTCATTTGTTTTTCGTGTGAGTAGCACGAAGTCATCTGCTGTTTATTATTCAACTTGTGCTGAAAATAACAACTACATGACTCGCAGAAAAGCCAAATTATTGTACATGTTGGGTGGTTGGGGCTAGTTAGGAGTATCTGTTGGTCGTACAGCATTTTGATTTTTATTTTTTTTGTTGCTTGTTATCTGTTGCAATTAAATTTAATCACTTGCTCCAATTAGCATTGCAACTGCGATAATTTTGTGTGTTTGCGCCTAACGCAATTATGCGGCTTTGTCAGGGCCATGTTATTCACATTCCCCTCCCCACACTCAACTACACACGCTCGTTCTTCTTCTCTCTTCCTCGTCCAGTTCACCCTCGCTGCGCATAAACATCAAATCAAATTACATTGCTAATACGCCACGTTGTGCGCGAATTTGTACACAAGCAGAATCAGAAGCTTGGCAACGCATTTATTGTGCAAGTTGCTTGCATTTATTTACCACTTTATGTTTGTCCCCATAAATGGTCAAGCTCCGAGCTCTCCCAGCTCTGAGGGGCTAATGAGTGGCTCCGATTACGTATCCCGACTGCGACGTCTGCACTCAGCGAAAACACAAATTATTTTCTACTTTTCGTACGTTTTTATTAGGGACTTGTCCATATACAATTCTGCAGAGTGTATTTGGACCCATTTCAGTGCTCAGCTAGGCAAAACCCAAAGCCGAACCCTTCTCATTCGTATTTGTCTTGGTTGGTGCTGGTGTTATATGTTTTTAAAGCTTTGCACAATTTTTATGCTGTTGTCCTTTTTGTTTGGCTGCCATTTGAGTCGCGTGTTCTCCGAGCTGTGCCGCCTGCCAGTCAGCACCAGCTCGGTGACTCATGGACAAATCCCTGCCCCCTTCCCGCCCCCTATTTCGACTCAGCTGCTGTTCCACTGTTTTAGTGCTGCTTGTGCATTATGAATTTTTTATAATTTCTTGCATTTTTATTGGTCGTTTTTTTTTTGCGTTGGGTTGTGTTTTGGGTCCGCCGCTTAGTGCGTGTGTTGCGAGAGCTCCTTTTTGTTTGTTCGTTTTTTTTCTCTCTTTTTTATGTCCTGTCGCCGGTCGAGCGCGCTTGTAAACAGTTTAGGGCAAATATCATTGCAAATGTTTTTACTGCACTGCTGGGACAATGTTGTTATGTGTCAGAAGTGATCTGAACTCTTTAAATTTCATCTTTTTTTGTGGTCCCCATGGCACAATAACGATCCACATAAAAATTATGAAATTAAAAAAAAATCACAGCTTTGTTAGTAGCAGTATGGAGGGATATATAAATAAATATATGTATTATCACGTCACCGATTACATAATTTAAGTGCCGGACTTCAATTTATATTTCAATAAGCGAAAAGGAATGAATAATACATAAATGTAAGCAGGAGATTTATTTTGTGATTTAATACATGTTTTTTAAAAATTAAAAATACAACAAAATAACTTTATATTTGAGAGTTACTGTGACTTAAGGTATTTGCTATATTTTGTTTAGAATATTATTAAATTAAAGAAGATAAATAATGAAGAAAAGCAATCAGTTTTTAACTTCTAGCATTATTTCTATACAGACATAAATGGAATAGAAATGAAAGATACAATAATTTATGCAATAGGTTTGTCATGTGATTTAATAATTTTTATTATTAATATAAAATATTATGTTTCATTTCCAATGCACCAAGACAAATTACTTGAGAATTTTTGGGGACAAAATTATTTACGATATTTTGTTGCGAATAAAAAAAAAAAACATTCAAAACAAGCAATAAATTGGTAGTTTCTGAATGTATTTTTATGCACACAAATCATAGCGAAAAACGAATAAATATTCAGATATAAATAAAGAGAGAATCACTTTAACACTAACAAAATAAATCATTTTTGCAAGAACTCAATTTGAATTTATTTATCCAGTAAATAAATCGCTTTTAATGCATTCATAATCTTGCGAACAAATTTGCACTTTTGCACTTTAATTACCCTCAACATCAATTATCAAACTCAAATCTCTCTCTGAAAGCACTACGATAATATATTAACTCCTTTTTATAGCAAGTTATGTTTTTTAATATCATTTTTGGCGTGTCGGCTTATTGACTTTTGAGCAATTGGCTTTAGTTGAAAAACCATTTATAATAACACAGTTATGACAAGGTGCTAATGGAACTCGGCTTCCACTATGCGTCTACAGAGCAGACCGTATAAATGCGCCATGATTTATTAATAGAGAGCACAGGGCACACAGAAATACACACAGCCACAAATACACACACACAAACACACACAGATACAAACAACACTCATCTCAATGGGGGTCAGTGCAAAAGTAACCTAACGAATGGGGGCACAACCGAGTAATCTCCTTAAAATGCAATTTGTTTTGTTGCAATCAACGATTTTTGATGATGACGACGCTCGACAAGGACGACAAGCCTGGCCAACAGCAGTAGCAGCGGCAGCAGCAGCCGCAGCATGATGATGACGATGATGAAGTTGATCGAATGCGAGCTGAGCAAGAATTTGCAGTATGGCCAAATAAATTGGTTGTTATTTCAACCCTCTTCCAAAAAAAAAAAATAAAACGGAGTAACGGAAGGAAAATAAAATTTGTAGTGTGCTTTACGGGGTTTTATTTTTTACGTGCGCACCACTTGACTCAAATTGGTTGGCTGCCACTCGTGATGCATGGCCATGCCAATGCGGTTTGAGAGCTGCGACAGCCCTGACAGACAGACAGACAGACGGACTGATGGACAGATGGACAGATAGACGGAACGAATGACCAACGGCTAGTGCAATGAATGAATGAATCACAAGCAATTGGCAGGCCGTTGCAAGAGGTATGAGGCAGGCGATGCGGGGCAGCAACAACAATGCCGACGCACAAAAAGCGCAACGCTTGCAGTTACAAGTACACTCAGCAAAACTTGGCACTGGAATTTTGGAAGCTGCCACAACTTTAACTAAATAGAATAGTTTATTTTTTGACTTCAGTCAGTTACAAAAATTGGTTTTATTTTTCGAAATACAAAAGAATTTTTTTTGGTCAGTGTGGTAGGGGGAATCCAGGTGTGGGGGCAGGGTGGTTGGCGCTGATGGGTAGGGGTCAGTTTGATCGAATCCGTTGCATAGCGTTGCTTTGGCTTTGGCTTTTGCTTTGCTTTGCTCTGCTTTTCTGCATACTTTATGGCGTGCTGGGCGCGTGTTTGCCAGTAACAGATTTGTTTGCCTGTCTTTTGTTTGGCTTGGCAAGCTCCCTACCCTTCTAACCCCTTCCCCCACCCATACACACACACACACACGCAGCACGCCTGCATTTTATTTGCTTGCACGTATCCGAGCCGTGTTTCAATTTGCACATACACCA